AATGGTATGACAGTCTTAGTAATTTGAAAACTTCCTGCAGTATGTGTTTTCCATTATTGACAATGGTGTTCCCAGAGAATATATGGCTCCGGCAAGAGTTTGGTCAATGTTTTCCTGCTCTTCAGGTGTCACCTGTGTACTAATGAAGCCATTGAGAGTGCTTTGTATGCAGTAGCTTGCACCTTTGTTGGCTTAGGCGTCCTGAACAGGCACCTCTTTGTGGTGATACTGATGTTCCAGAATCTGGAGCAGCAGCAGCACAGCTGTATGCTGACCATCCGGAAGCGTGCATGTTTTACCTCATCATGGGTTTCTTCTCGCACATTCTAAAATGTCTGATAACCACCAAGCTATCTGTATCTATGAGTTGATTTTTGTTTTGTTTGTTCACTTGTTCCTTCTTTTGTTTTATAGTCTACATACGAGTGAAGTCATACAATTTTTGCCCTTTTTTGCCTGACTTATTTCACTTAGCATAATACCCTCGAGGCTCAGCCATGTTGTCACAAATGGCAATATTTCATCTTTTTGTATGGCTGAGTAGTATTCCATTGTATATATACCACATCTTCTTTATCCCTTCATCAGTCAATGAACACTTGGGTTGTTTCCATATCTTATAAATAATGCTGCAATGAGCATAGAAACGCATATATCTTTTTGAATAGGTGTTTTTATGTTCTTCAAATAAATAAAGATATTGAATGATAATGTTGTACACCTGAAACTTAGATAATGTTATAAACCAATATTACTTAAATTTTTTTTAAAGTTCATTTTGAGAAAAAAAAATAGAGTGACAACTTGACTATTAAAAAAAAAGTCTGGCCCTAGCCGATTTAGCTCAGTGGATAGAGCATTGGTCTGCGGACCAAAGGGTCCTGGGTTTGATTTCAGCCAAGGGCTCCTCCCTGGCCTGGGCCCTGGTTGGTGCTCATGCAGGAGGCAACCAATCAATGTGTTTCTTTGACACTGATGTTTCTCTCTGTCTTTCCCTCTCTCTCCCACTCTCCCTAAATATCAATGGAAAAATATCCTCAGGTGAGGATTAACAATAACAAAAAAAAAGTCTGAATAGCACTCTACAGATTCCGTGTTTAAAGTAGAATTCAGAAATGTCTCTTTCAGGCAACAGTTCTGTGGGTGACCTTCAGCATGCCAAAGTGTCTATATGTTGAAAGTTGGCAAAAGAAAAAGCCAGTGGAAATAAAAGTTGGCAAGAAAAAATATCCAGTGGAAATAAACAAAAAACCCTGGAGGTGTGCCTCCAGGTTAGCTGGAAACACCTTTCCAGTCATCCAGCCTCTGAAGCTAAGGACGGGATTGTGTGACAAAAACATATTACAAGGAATTCATGTGTGACAGGTTGTGGAAACCATGCAGCTGAAAATCAGAATTCAGATGCATTTAAATTCCTGTTTATTAAGAAAGAAGCATACTTCTTTTCCTAGCTGCTTTGTGTACATTAAGATCACAAGACCAAGAGGAATTGGGTTTCTAAATCTTTTACATTCTCTTTAACTCTCCTCTGTCTTGGTCCTTTTTTCTTTTTCTTTTTAAATATGTTTTTATTGATTTCAGAGAGGAGAGAGAGAGAGAGAGAGAGAGAAACATCAATGATGAGAGAGAATCATTGATCAGCTGTCTCCTGCACACCCCCTACTGGGGATCAAGCCCATAACCCGGGTATATGTCCTTGACCAGAATCGAACCTGGAACCTTTCAGTCCATAGGCCGATGCTCTACCCACTGAGCCAAACCAGCTAGGGCTGTCTTGGTCTGTTTTTGACCAATATATGTCATATTATTAATCTCTCTAGGAATTGATAGATATGGCTGTCATTGTCCATTTCAGGTCCACTTCTCTGAGAGGTGGTCAGAAGGAGTAGACCATTTATTGACAATAGAAGTCAATGAAAGAAAACCCACAACAAAGCAAACAGATTCTTTCTGCTATCTCTCTGGGAGTCTAAAGCAATCTCTTGTTTAATAGTTCCACTCTGTTGTTTATTCTTGAGTTTTACAGTGTAAGAAATTGGCTATAATAGATAGGTTAGAGAAAAACTATTCTATTGCATGAGAAAGCTGAGTCACAATATTTGAGTCCCTTACTGTTAATCTTTCGTTAACCTGTAAACACTCATAATCCACTGTTCAAACTATTTTTAGAGAAAAAGGCAGATTCAAACATTTACATTTGTCCCAGCCTTTACCTCTTTAAAGGAGACCAACAAATATGAAACAATTAAAAAACAATATAGCCCTCTCTATTGTTTTTGTTGGCTATAAATGCATAGAATGATAGAAAATTAAAAAGTATTTATTGAGCACCTACCATTTCTCAACTGTGCAAGAAAGCACAGAAGACAGGACCCTCAGTTTGATTATGATCTGCTTGAAGAGGCAAGCCATGATACGAAACAACAGGGCTGGTATAATATGAAATATAATGACGTGCTCATCCATGGAGCACAGACGCTACAGAAGTTTAGGAGAGATAAACTCTGAAGGGTAGAATAGTAGGGGTTTGAGCTGGAAGGAGAAGGAAGCTATGAGTAAGATGAAAATGATATGGCAAAAGCACAGAGGTTTCACAGCAACACGCCAGTGAAAACAGTCAAACTAAACCAGGAGGGGTGCAAATCAGAGCTGAGGAAGCTGGCTGGGAGGAGTTCCTGGGACGCTGTGAAAGCCTGGCAGAGTTTAGATTCACGCTGTAGTCTACACAGAATCAATGATGGTTTTTACAAGGGAAGTGTTGAGAGCAATGTTTTATGAGGACAAGCCAAGCATCCACACTTGGGAGAGACCTGAGAGGGAAGAATGTAGAGGCGGGGAATAGAAGCAAGAAAATTGTTGTGGCAAACCAAGGGCAGGTCTTAGGAGCTGAGCTGTGGAGGTGTTGGAGGAAATGGAGAAGGGACAGATGTCACAGACATTGCTAAGAGGAACTGGGCACACTTGGTGACTGACTTCATATGGAGGGGGAGGGAAAAGGCCATGTCAAGAAAGACTCCAATATTTTTGGTCTCATGGTCTTCAAGTAAGTTGTTGGTAGAACTGATAATGGAGACAGTGAATCAGCTTTTATTCCTGTCAAGTGTGAGGTGACAGTGGGACAGCTAATGAAAATGTTCAGCAGGAAGCTAGAAATACAGAAATTTGAACTGTATCTCTGTAGTCTGAGGGTAGGAAAGGTGAATCACTCAGATATGTTAAGGTGGGGATGAGGAAACTCAGAAAAGTAGGAGGAGAGGTCAGTTTCAAGGTGAGAGTGGCAAGGAGAGAGAGAGAGAGAGAGAGAGGGACTGACTTTGGAATAGACATTAGAGGATGAGGATTAGTGAAAGTGAACTGGGCCAGATATGCATAGTTCCATAACTTCCTCCAGCCACACCTTGCTTTCCCAGCGTTGGACAGAGGCACTAGAGTGGGAGAGTGGCACTGGATGAAGAGGAGGATAAAGGGAATTTGGAGAGGATGAATGGGACCCAGGAGAGCAGGAAGTAGTGTCTAGGGCAGTGATGTCGAACCTATGACACGCGTGTCAGAGGTGACACGCGAACTCATTTTTTTTGGTTGATTTTTCTTTGTTAAATGGCATTTAAATATATAAAATAAATATAAATCTTTGTTTTACTATGGTTGCAAATATCAAAAAATTTCTATATGTGACACGGCACCAGAGTTAAGTTAGGGTTTTTCAAAATGCTGACATGCCGAGCTCAAAAGGTTCGCCATCACTGGTCTAGGGCATGAAAGTGTGGGAGAAGAAAGAGGGCGATTTTTGTTGTTGTTAATCCTCACCTGAGGATATTTTTTCCCATTGGTTTTTAGAGAATGGAAGGGTGAGAGACAGAGAGAGAAAAACATCGATGCGAGAGAGACACATCGGTTGGTTGCTTCCTGCACGCGCCCTGATAGGGGCCAGAGATTGAGCCTGAAACCAAGGTACTTGCCCTTGACCAGAATCAGACCAGCAACCCTTCAGTCGTGGGCTGACACTCTCACCACTGAGCCAAACTGGCCTGAGCATGAGGGAAAATTATTATGATTAGCAATTGGAGCATACTAAAATGCAAAGGGGGAAAAATGCAAAGGGAGGTGGTAACCTCTTCCTGGTGGTAAAGGGGACAGGCAGGGAAGGAGGCCGCTCACTCAGGTGCAGGTATGTTGAAGAGGAGATGTCTGTGGACCATGGGTATTTCCCTAATGTTGACTTGATTTGCCTTCCCATTAAGGAAAGCCCTGCCTCCCACTCTCCAGGCTCTAGCTAATAGAGGACTCTCAGGACAGATGTCATCAGTTGGGGGAGGGGGGGGCGGGGACAGGGAGGGGAGGATGCAGATTTTGGAACTTGATCTGATCCACTTGCACTATTGGCTCAAAAGCTTCTGATTCACTTCGGAGATGGTTTTCTGTCATTTAAATGCCATAAACACTAACAGCAGAATAGCTCACTGGCTGGCCCCCTGCTCTCCACACCGGCCAGGCCCAGCACCTGCAGCATCTCTTGGAGAGGAAAAGGAAGACCCATTATCCCATGTGGGTGGTGGGGGGTATCTTCCAAACCTGAAGGAAAGGTAGGGTGTTAGGGAGGAGAGAGATGAGCAAGATCATAGAGGTGCATTTGGTTACTGGAGAGACCACAGCTGAAGACCTTGCTGGGAAGGAAGCGTAAAGCCAGGTCATCCTCCCGCCCTTCTCCATCTGGGTTTGGGCTACAAAGAGACACAAGCAAAGGCAAACACGTACACACACACGCACCGAGAAAGAGCTACACAGAGTGGAGGTGCCTACACAGCTGATCATAGGACAGACATGTAGGTCACGAGCTCATCCACTTGTAAAGGCACACCCGGATCTGCTCATCACATGCATCTCTGTCTACACACAGCTCTTTCTTCTCCAAGGGTTCTCTTCCCATGGAGTGCCCTGGTGTGAGTAGAGGCAGGCCCCTCTCTGCCAGGCCTCATGCCTTCCCCTTTGTGTTTTTCCAGGTCGTGACATGGCGAGCACCACTCTGCCTGGTTACCCCCCTCACGTGCCCCCCACTGGCCAGGGAAGCTACCCCACCTCCACCCTGGCAGGAATGGTGCCTGGTAGGTGACAATGCTGTAGCTGCCTAATTTATGAGGGGGTAACTAAATTGTGGGTGAGCTGCTGAGTGGTCTTTAGGCTGAGGGGGTGGGAAGAGATCCAACATCCCCTCCCCGCAAACCACTGTTATTCTACCCCTCACTCTCCCTAGAGCTGCAGTTGGTCCCTCATCCTCTTTCATAAGCAACCTAGGGAAGGAGCTTGCAGAGTGCCCCTTGTGTGCATCCCACTGTATGTCATGGCCCCTTCACAGGGCCCACCCACTCAAGCCTGTGCCCGGGGAGCACTCAGCCTCAGCTCCACCCTCAGTGCCCCAGCCCACCCCCAGCCAGCTGACACTGCTTGGAAGAGCCTGCCCTGGTTTCCATGGAAACTTGGATCCAAGAACCATTTCCAGAGACATGTCAGTCACTCAGACAAAGCCACCCTGGTCCACACCAACCCACAGGGAAGACCAGAGTTAAGAACCTACCCCACCCCAGAGAGAAGAGGGAACCTACCCCACCCCAAATGAAAGAGGAACAGGGGACAGGCTATGGCAGGAACCAGAGAGGCTAGCTCCAGAGAAATGAGCTAAAGCACCCCACATGTCCTCAGAGGAACCAGGCTCTTCGCTCCTCAGAGTGCAGACCATCCCCTGGCTGGGCGCAGCTGGGTTAGGCTGTGTGAATCAGAGAGGCAGAGGTCGCCCTTAGGCTCTGGTGTTGTGCTCTTCCCGACCCCTCACCTCAGATTGGAGCCAGACTTGAAGCCAAAGAGAGTTGAAGCACCTATTTGCTTCAACACCGGAAAACTCTTGGTTAATAAGGATGAGACTCACTGGGCCTGCACCCGCTCCCATGGTTGCCTTCTTGTGTGCCCCTTCCCTGAAGCTCAGCTCTCATGGGAGGAGGGTGGGTGGAAAAGGGTGACTGGCCCCCTTCCTGGACTGTCCATCCAGGGACAGCCTGGATAAGCAGAGTTGGGGGAAGGGCATGGCTGAGAGGGCATTGCTGCAGAGTGTGGTAGAATGGGGGCTGAAGAGACTTAGAGGAACTGGGTAGGAGGAGCTGAGGGGTGTGGGTGAGGAGACCCAGATGTGGGGTAGGGGGAGTAGAAGTGTTGAGAGCAAGGAGACTCTTCCAGGAAGGTCCCAGCAGTGAGCTCTTGGGGGCTGGAGAAGGTCTTGGAGAGCTGGGGTGAGGGAGGGGGGAGTCTGTAAGGAGGTGGGGATGAGGGGAGCGCAGAGAGCTCGTGGTGGCAAGGGGGGAGTCGTTAAACAGAATCTAGTGCTGATGAGGAAATTACACTTGTTTCATTAGCGATGGGGAAGGAGATAGCTCAGTTCCTCTTGGTCACAGTTGAGCTCAGAAGCTCATTATCCTGCTGCACGCATGCTTTCCCTCCTCGTCAATAAACAGGCTTTCCAGTGGCTGCATCCCCCACCCCCACCCCAGCTCCCTCTCCGAGAGGGGCCCCTTCTCCTCTACTTAACCCGCGGTTAGGGATCACTGTAAACAGTCTGGGGTCATCACACAGGAGAAAGGGCGAGGGGGAAACCCGGAGATGTGGCCTTTCTCCCGTGGAGGGAGTGAAGCGGCTTCCGACGGGCTGGGAGCCCACGGGGCCCTCTGCTCACCGCTCACGGCTGGGCAGGCAGTCCACCTGCTGCCCGCCACCTCCTTCCCCTGCTGCGTGCCCCACAAGTCCGGTCTCTCCGAGGGAAAGGTGGGAGGGGGGTTCCCAGCAGAACCCAAGCCCTTTGCTTTGGCACAGTACTAAGATGCCATTTTTAGGACTTTCTGGGACAAAGTGTCCCCAGGGCCTTTCTTCGCCACCCTCCCCCGCTTCCACCCCGGGGGGCTATGGCTCCCAGAACCAGAGTCTGCGCTAAGACCCTGTCCTCCCACACAGCGGGGTAGGCGTGCCTGGACCCAGAATAAACCCTTCTCGGCTGCCAGAAACGCCCCCGCGAGGTGTCCTAGGGGAGCACCGCCCCGCAGGTCTCTCCACTCCCGTGTGCGAGGGTCGTGGGTGCAGCTGCATCCCCCCCCCCCCCCACCGTGTACACACGCACCCAGGGCTCTCCCCACGCGGTCTCAGTGGATTGCTCCGCCTTCGCCTGGCCCACAGCCTGCAACATCGGGTCCGCCTCGGTGTTGCGCGTGTCTGATCCCACTCCCCCACCCTCCCGCAGGGAGCGAGTTCTCCGGCAACCCGTACAGCCACCCCCAGTACACGGCCTACAACGAGGCTTGGAGATTCAGCAACCCCGCCTTACTAAGTGAGTACGCCACCCGGCAGCAGGCAGCT